AAGTCAGAATGCTTGAAAAGGTATGTATGAACACTTAGGTTGTGTACTCTGTGTTGAACATAGAGGTTCTTTTTCTTTGTCTCCCTCCAAGTAGGCCCCATCCCTCTCCATCTTGTGTTTTATCACTTGATTTGTGTACATTGTGAGCTTGGCAGCGATCAGTGAAGCGAGCTTCACTGTATCTCGCTGTACGATGCTGGGGATTACAAAGCGGAGGCAGTTCGTACGATTTGGCCTTGATAGCAAGTGTTTTACGGAATAAATAGAGGGTTTTCCGAATAGGTATGTAGGTAGATAGTTCGCGGTATCGCGTTCGTCAGGGTGACCCACGTCAGTGAAGGGGTTTTTCTGAGAAAACTCTTACGGAGCCTTCGACCTAGAGTTGTGATATATATATATATATATATATATATTTGTGGTCACTTGTGTTTCATTGTTTTTCAGTTACCTGATGGAGACTAGAGGGAATAATACCCTGGCCCGCAAATGATGAATTGAGTTTAAATGGAAGAGCGGTTTTGCCACCTAAAGGAAAAAAATTCACAGTTAACTCATAGGTATGTGTGAACAGCAGATCGATAAAGTCTCAGGTCATGCGCAGTGAGTTACAAAAGCTCGAGGTTCGGCGTTCTGTGAGGGGTTGGTCGGTGCAATCTCCATCGAAGTTTAGTCAGTTGGACATGGAAACCGAAAACCAAAGCTACCAAGCTGGTTCTGTCGCTAATCATATGTTACATTCCCACTCAGGAAGAATAGCGCTATCTACATGACCCAGTTTGTCTATCAAGGTTTTCACTCCATGTCAATTCTCAGTTTGACCACTGTTGACTTATTCCCCAGTATCTGCCACGTCAAACGCTGCACTTTGAGGAAGCCTATCAGTTGACATAGCTCATACACGCCCCAACCAACGTAATTTATGTAGGTCGAGAATTTGCTTTAGCGGGCTGTTATGTAGTGGGGGTCCTGTTAGAATATGAAGTGGTAGTAATAGCATTTTCTGATGCACTGCACCGAACTGATAAACAACCAAGGGGTTTAGGATTCTGTCCGTGTTCGTTCACTTCACAGGACGCTTTTGGGAACGTGGGACTAAATATTTTATGGTAAAAACGAACCGTTCGTTGTCCACAAGGAATTGGCCCAGCGCTTCATTGAGGATGTAAAAAGCTTGTCTGAACACGTCTACACCATTCAATTTTCATGCTGTTAATTCTAATTCGTTTTTAGTTTCTTTAATAAAAAAAAATTAATATCAAGGCATTACAGGCAAAACACTGAAAATCGGTTAACTCCTCGTTAAAATAATCGATATCGTACTTTCTACTGCAGTGCATCGTCCTCGTTCATCGGAAATGTGGAGATTTAGGGAAACACATTTTCTTCCACCTAATGTGTAGTCGGATGGCTCATTTTCACCCACTTTCAAAGACAAGTCACGGGTGCTAAATTTTCCGAAACTCCTTCAAGTTTTCGAAGTTGATTTAGTGAATACGGATTAATGTGTCGATTTATAAGTGAGGTAGTTCTTTTTAAAATGTGACAGAGAAATTGGTTTTGCCCATTTTTGTTCTAAGACGTCGCATGCCAGGGTGACGGTACCTGAGAGGTTTGAGTCGCCGTCACGGCATATTCAAACCCTGTCATCGCGATGATCACCACCAGCGGAGATCGTGAATAGCGATCATAATGGGACAATTTGTGAGAAGCCCGGTGTGTTTAAAATCCGCTTACCGAGGCATCTACCGTCCGACCATCCTAAGACTTTAGAGCATCCTTTTTATGTCAGTTTAACTCGTTTTTACTATATTTTGAGCTTGGGAACTTTGTGTTCGGTTGTTCATCGTCCATTCGATTTCCCATAACTAAACAAGTGACATTTCGAATTCAACAACTGAGTGGTAGCTCACTAATGTGCATTTTTGTCCTTTAGTGATCTAATGTTTTCTCGATAGCTGCCTTTTTTCCTCTAAGCTGATAAAGGTGGTGGTCACAATAAATCTTGTAAATGGTTATCAGATCAGTTTATTTTTTCATGTTTGAATATAGCTTCGTATATAAACAGCGTGATATTTATTGTGATGTATTTGGCATGTCTACGAATCACCAAAACGAGATTGTTCGCCACTACTTGTTCTATTTGAAATGTTCTCTTTGGAACTGTTTAGACAGTTAATTAACCCTTGTGTTTGATGGGAGCTTAGACACCACCACTGTCGATCGATTCTTGCGACGATTTGGAAGATGCAAAACTTCTCTTCAGTGTTCGCTTCACCCCATATTCGATATTTTCGGTCGAACATATGTCCCCTCCGATCTTCTTAAGGTAGTTGCGTAATTTCATTCGAGTTGTCTTGGACAGTGGCCGTGCTGTCGTTTCAAATTTGCTGCACGTAAGGTAAAAAAGGGAAGCTTGATCTTAGGCCCGTCAAAAGCATTACATTACTATTTTACTTACATGGACTAGCTGTGGTCTTGTGAACCGTGGCCCGAACCAAAGTGTAAACACCATATGGGATTTGATAGGCGAAGTCTGTAAGTTTTTTCCCATAATAAAAATTTGAATTTGAACAGCAAAATTGCATTCACTCATGTCAGCCCACTATTGGTAAAGATCATGATAGAAACAGCAGCTGAGGTGGTTGGTGGAGAATAAAAGATCGTCTAAAGTAATTGGTCTTGCTGTTAGTTTGCCTTTGCCGAAATCCTATTACATCATGTCCGAGCATGATGATGAGCGGTTTTAGTTATATAACCACAGGGCCAAGTGCTGGATAATAACCAAAGCCTATTAAAGAATAGCAACCTAATCTGATGAACAACGTGATTTCAGATTAGTCGGCAAACTATTTTTTCTGGCTCGAAGACGAAATTCGGTTAACATGATATCCGTATACAAAAGTAATTGTTGCTAGCTTTTTCCAGTCTGTTTATTACATTTCGACCGAATTGCATTCTCTATAATGACCCCAAACTCAAGCCTATTTCTTACTCACGGGAAGCGGTATGAAATTGCATTCATTTGAACTTCTCAAAACAGGATCAATAACAGATCCATTTTGTTTTCCTAATCTACACACCAAGTCTAGTTTATCGATATTCAGTGCTGCACAGTTGGTTGCTCACAACTGTCATGAGTCAGTCGTGCATATAATCGCTTAACTTATGGATCTGTTCTTTTTCAGAAGGAGTCAGAAATTACACATGCTCGGCATACTTGCTCCAAACCGTACCAGTCCTTCTTGAGTCATCAACCGGAGTTCGACGTTTTAAAATCCCAAGCAATAGATGAACGAGTCACCATCATCCGATGGTTACCCAGATCGGCGCAGTCTCACTTTTTGCTTTCCTCTAACGGTGAGTCTTTATCTCAGGTATAACGCGTGGATATTTGGTTTTCCTGTCCATCTTAACCCCTACTGTTTTCCTTTGATTTCAGAAAGAACCATCAAGTTGTGGCGGCTGTCCGATGTGCCTGTCCAGTCATTTACAAACATGAATTTTCCCACGGAACATGGCTGCAGACGAAAAATTATCATTCGTTCCTTGTCAGATATTAAAGTTCCTGTTTGTTCCATTCGCCCAGTAAGCCCTTCCGTTAGGGTTTGGAACAAGAAAGAATTCGACCGTGCGCACAGCTTTTGTATAACTGGCATTTCTACTTCTACCGACCAGGAAACATTCTTCTCATGTGACGCCCTGCGAATCAACTTGTGGCATCTGAATGTCACCAGTGAAGTCTTCAGTATCCTTTTTTGTAACGGTTAAAATCTTTCATTGCACAATAATCTTGATTTGCGGTAAGTAGGAGTAGATAAATCATTCACGATAAGTACGGTTTTTGATTCAACATCTGAAAATTTGAGCAGAATAACTGTCTTGAGAAAAATCTACGGTTGAAAGCTAACTACTAGATACCAAGAAGTTCGATCAGTGCCTATCAGTCTGGACCCTCAACTGACGAGGAATCCAAAAAAGATGCATATTTTTGGACCGACTCAGTACTTCAATTCTCTGTATGTGAATTCATTGAGTTTCCCCTCTACATGCAATTATTATTTACAAAATTGCTTGAAAATCACCAAGTTTAGCAAATTTCAGCGTGGGAGTTCGTTTTACTTGGTAGATCCTGAGAGTACTGGGTTTAACTTTCCATCAGGCCTATGTGTGAACACTTGGTTCAACAGGTTGATTCAGCTTGATCTGTTTTCCTTAGTCTAATTTTTCTCGCTTGAGGTATTATGGATAGACCCCTGGATTCAATAGACGATCGGACTCACCTCGTCACGGGCCTCGATTGCAGCAATTTTAGTCCATCCATTTTCGCCTACTGTACCAATCGCGGTTCTGTTCGTCTTCACGACATGCGCTTAAGCACCAGCTGTGATTATCCTGTAATGGGTACGTTCACTTATTGTTTCATGTCTGATGCATGTTCATACCAATCGTAGAACGGTCTGACTCCAAGTTACCTAATTGACTGCAATTCGCCTTCCCACGTAACATCTCATCTTCAGTCTCATTCGTTAGTTTTGTTTCAAGCGTTTTCACCTAGTTTCACAGGCCCCCTAAATCTGGTATACAGTTTCACTTTGATTTATTTCTCTTTCCACGAACGAGCCGTTCAAAATTCATCGCTCTTGCCTAGGCTGAAATTTTTTTTCCACGAGCTCTACCAAATCAGACCTTGTGTTGTTGGTAAACGTGTGGGGCATTTCGGTGATAGATGTATGAATAAATATCCCCGATTTTCTTATACCGTACAATCATTATTTGGTATAGCGGTTACCCCGTCCGTCGAAGCATTTGAGCATGACAGGTTTAGGAAAACGTTCGCGGTTCGCTTGAGGTTCCCGAGCTCACAGATTGAGTGTACACGTCGCACCAAAAGTCCTTTAATTAGTTCGAGTTTTCATTGACCGGTCAGTCACTGTCTAACGTTGTCAAACCGTTGGTGTTCATCAGTGAATTTATCGAGGTTCTCTCTGTTCAATTCACCTTTAGCTTACGCGGATTCATCACTTAACTGAATTTTGTGACACATCAGGTAGCCACCCATGCTTATTGTTGTTCTGGGGGTTAGATATGGAAGCATTTTTTCTACTTTTCCATCATTGGGGCTTCTTTGCCCAAAATTCTTGGATGAAGTTAGCGTCATTTGAAAGATGGACTTTTCTAAGTACATTCATGAAATGCTGTCCTACATTGGTCTGCGTAATATATATTTTTTAATTACACAAGTGAACACGGTGGAAGGGGTATATCCCATAATATTGTGCACAGGGTTGTGGAAAGAACATTCAAACTACAGCTAGCTTATTGATAGTGCGTCTAAATATAATGATGCTTTCACCAGGAGGGAAGAGGTTAGGTAGATAGGTAGATCACTCGATGAATCAACAATGGGCGGGAATTGGAGGCACAGAAATTAAATGGACGTTACTTTATCAAGTAGCCAGAACGTCGGGTTTCCAGAGGGAGCCGTTGACAATCGTCGATTGACACTGGATAAATCTCCCCTTATTCTTGTTTAGGGCATTTTTTGGTTACTTGCTTGAGAACTATTGACCGGGTTGGGGAAAACTGAGTGGGGTGAGGGACCCCAGTGACAAAACGCTGCTTTCTTTACAAACAACCGGGCATCAGGTTTGATTAAATCTTTCCCGGGAAAGCGGTTTGCCGGGCTTATAGAAATGTGTAATAAAACAGTTCATGCCTTGTATCACTTGGGAGAATCTATAGGACGACATGTTGACAAAAATAACAGTTATTCCAGTGGTAGGGCAACAGAAAGTTACGAAAACTACACCAGTCATCGGAGCCGTAATAAATTCACAACCCGTTTCTTACTCTGGTCATACTGCCCACATTGTTCAACGAAAAATTAATTTGCATCAGACTGGCTCCATGGTAACTGAACTTGGTTAGTCAATCTATCCATCCGCTCGTTGTTCAAAGCTGACTTTTTTTCTTAATTTTTCAAAGTGATGGATCCTCGAAAAAGGTGCTAATCCTCTGGTATTCTATATAATTATTTATTTGTGCTCACTGATATCCGTTTGGGTGGTTTTCCTGGAGGGACCTTGTCATTTCTCAGTTACCTCTCTCGTTTCTTCCTGGTCTTTTTTGCTCATCACGATTTCGCTTCATCTGCCAAACACCGCAGCGAAAAGTTTTCCCAAATTAAACCAATTGTCTCAGGCTTGCAACTTGGGTTATTTAAATACGTCCTATAGTCTCGCAATCACTCAACAGATACGCTTTGCGAAGCGCCATTACGAAACCACGGTTTGTCTGTCTTTCATGTCCATTCCAACGGGGGTGTTTGTTTAAACCCGCCCCTGCCTTTTGGTCACCAAATTCATCAAGATCCACATCGCTGGTTAGCGTGCAGTTGTTGCTCCGTATGGTTTGTGAACCAGTCTGGATTGTTTGGGTCATTGATAGGCTACCCAGGTGTGTGTCTATCTTTATTAAGAGATGCATTGTACACATTGGAATGTTGATCTCATTTGGCGTGCATGTGTTCCGTGTAAACCACAAATATTGCCATTTTTAAATTGCGAATCCAAATGACGATCACACACACACACACGAGATATCTTCGTTCATGTGGTCTCTCGATTTAAATTAGAAATTGATTAGAAGTGTTTGAATTTGTTCTGACTCTCTCTCTCTCTGGTCGATTAGGATTACTTACGCTAACTTGGTCGATCAGACATGTCGGTTTCATTCAATTTTTGCCACCAGTATTTAATCTCACATATTGGTTATCTGTTCAGTCGAATAGGACTCTTGTTTATCCATCATAGAATTACAAAAAATGGGCGATAGGACTTCTGCACACATTAACCTGCAAAGAGGAAGATATCCCCAGCTTTGATGGCCAGTGGAGAATTATGTTAATAGGGAAATACGCAAAATACTCACTCCAATCGTTGTACAGCACTTATGTTTGCTACACGTGAATACGACTGAATACATGGTAGTCTTCAATTAGATCCTGAATTATGCCGATGTGGCTGTACAGTGTTTGTACAATGTTTCGCAGTTTTAAAGTGCGCTGCGAAAAGTTTTATACAATGGGTTTCTTGTCAAAGATACTTTCACATCTGAGTGGAGACAAAATTAAAAACAGTTGATTAGGAGCGGACCTGTAATTGATCTAACCATGTTGAACTCTTGAGAGATTCCTCCAGTAGCTCAAAGCGCGAATGAACGTAGAACAAAGCTATCTGAGATAGATTTCACACCAGGTTGTCTCGCGCATCGGTGATAGTTGCTTAAACTTCATTAATCTAAGTGCTCTTTAAGCTGAACGTGGTATCCATTTGTTAGGGACCTCTCAGTTAAGTCAGTTTTGTTTCCTTACCGCGGGTGTCTGTAATTGAGGATGACAAATGTCGTGGGTTTGCTTACCGTTTTCATTGCTGTGAGGTTTGAGTATGGTACGATGAATGCGTGCAGAATTCTGAGGTAAGACGCAAGGTACTGAATAATTGTAAAAGAGAACTAGACGGCTATCAAGGACCTAATTGTCTTGGGGTGCATCTACTTATTATTCGTGCAACCCCAATCTATATGAGTTCTCTATCTTTTCTGTGACTCTGCTCTCAACGTTCCAATCTTCATTCTGCTCTTTTATCCAAATGGACAGCCAAAAGATAGCAACAAAAACTGGTCCATGACAATACTTGGTAATGGTTGCAAGAAAATTAACTGAACTGAATTGTGCGGCATTTGTTGCGCATGTCTCCGGATAAGATTCCTTACAGGTCAATATTCACTTGAGGATAATTTGATATATCGAGACTGACCAGGTTTTAGAGGTGTAAATGAGATGGCGGTGTAGACACGACTTGTTTAATAGTGTCCTGTTCGGTTTTTGAATTCTTTGCTATAAGGTGACGGTTAGCGGACAGTTCTTAGCATTGCGACAAAGTAGGAAAAGCCTCCTTGTGTTCAGTTACCGATTGCTTAGTTGGGGCTCGAAGTACCAAAGTTACAACTGAACCTGACTGTGATAAGTCGCATTTTCTTGCGTTTACTCTGTCCCCACCTGTATAACTTTTTATTCCTGATTTATAATAATAATGATACTGAAGCCGGAACTTAACAAATTTTATCACCTGCTGTTTAGCACTGACGCAAAACTCGGACGGTGGTGGTCCAGTGGTAACGTCACCAAATTACCACCTCGGGGACGTGTGTTCGAACCCCACCACCACTGCCTGACCTTCCCCATAGCAGCCCTTTGATTGACCGCTTCCCCCTTCCTGAAAATTGTATCACTGTGTATTCGATAAAAGGAAGTAAAATTAACAAAAAAAAACATTTGTTGAGGCCAGACATAAATTCTGGGCAATTGTTCACAGCATTCACTAATCTTCTGAACATTATAGTTCCTCGTCGTCTTTATGCTTTTTCTCTTCGGTAACAAAACATTTTTTCCATTCGCGTGATACTCATTGAAAGGTTTGACCTCACAGTGAAGAGTGCCCGCCCACGGTACAAAATGTATCGTTTGTTTGATTGCGTTCTTTTTTGTTGACTTAAATTATCCTGTGTTTGCTCAGTCGAAGTTGCTAAGTACTTCGATGATAAACGCGTTTCACTTCCCGGATTCTTTCTCTGTTTACGCAACGTTGGAGAACCAGCCCAAATATCAAATCAAATTTAGAAATGCAATCTCTAAGACTTGTTCATCTCATAAATATATACCCTCAGATACCGTGAATCTATTTTTATTACATTTTGTTCTTGTCTACCGCAGTTTTTGATAGCGTTTCTCCTGATGAGCCAAACATATGGACCTTGTTTGTCAGCGCTTTCACAGATGTCAAGATGGGTCAGACAAGCGATCGGTTTATCTACACGCGTGACTATCTTACTGTGAAAGGTAAGAATTTCTCCATCTAGTTTGTTGACTGAGAGCCTTTATGGTGTAAAATCCCATTTGCCTCCCGTTCACACTTCCTCCGCTGTTCCCCTTTCAGTGTGGGACACCCGTATGTCTACCAGCCCGGTGGAAACGTATCCTGTCCAAACTGAACTTCGCAATCATCTTAACGTTCTGTATGAGTCAGAACTACTCTGTGACGATTTCAAGCTCTCAGTCTCTTCAGACGATCGGTAGGTCACCACAGGTCTTGCGTTAGATCATTTTTTTGTCAGCAATGATGGCGATCAGTCCGTCCCCGAATCGGTTACATTGATCACCTTGTGTTACCTGGAGTTGAAGGGAAATTGGTGTTAAACCAGTTTTCCCCTAGATCAAGTAATATTTTGCATTTATGAATTCTTCAAAGCCTGTCATCAAAATTTCTCATCCGGAACTTGTTTAAAACCACTAAATTTATTTGAACATTCTTGCGGTTTCCGTAGGGCACGGTTGTCTGATTGTTTTATCTACAAGATTAAGAAATAGGGAATTAAAAGAGGCAGTTTGCCTAAAAGCGTGAACATTACTGTTAGAAATCGTTTAAATCATCACGTATTCATTATTTTTTCTTATGTGGAAATATGTTCCCCTCCGGACGTTTTGAGTCAACTGCTATTTTCGTACTGTACACTGGAGGACCATTGACCAAGGTCTTCGCCTGAACGATGGGCTAATACTAAAGGTTGCTGTTCGAATCAAGTAATCGTTTTTTTGCTGTTTGATACGTGCGAAATCCAGCAATATAGTGATTCATCTAGGATTTTATACCCTATTGAAACTAGTAATTTTAGACTGGTTATACCTGAATTCCTATTGTGTGAGCACTGTATGCATTAAATTCTTTTTCCATGTGGTTCCTTCAACTGCAAAACGCAACCATGAAACAATGTCATTTCGACCGATCCGCATTGGATATTTGCCTCAGACAGAAACAAATGCTAAATTAGCATTTATCTGAGGCTGGGTCGTTTGGACTATTGTTAGAGAAAATCATCATACCGCATTGCAACTGTAGAAAGATGTGCATTGAAGACAATTGACAAGGTGTGACTATAATGGCTATCTAGTGCATTTCGAATAAACTATTCGAAATGCAATGCCAACTGTGCTTTCTGTTCTGGATAGCATGCAATAATGGCACCTCAGGTCAGCGTGGACCGCGCCAATCTAGCTCCCTGATAGGCTGCAGCATCGACTTCTCCGTTTAGGACAGATCATCAGACCCTAGCCTACTTTCATCCTAACTCTGCAATGTGATAAACGGTGGGATCAGAATAGACGTACAAAGCATTTGACAGCAAACGTTGCTTGCAGATCTGAGTTTAATACCCGTCCGAGACATTGAATCGATCAGAAATCAGTGACCATGATGAGAACAAGCGAAAAGTGGTTGCTGGCGAAAGGAAAATGGCAGCTGCGTCGGGAAGTATTCAAAGGCTGTTCTAACTGACACACAACACTAGGGGTTAGCGGATCCAGATTAGCAAAACAATCTGCGAGACAAGTGAACAGGGCGTCCACAATAAAAATAGTGACTTGGTTGCTCGGTGGAGTACTTTAACTAACAATTCACCTGGCCTCATATGGGCCAGGTCATCTATGCTATTGAAGCTGAGGCTCTCTGGCTCGTGTCATATGAACCGTCAGTAGAAGTAGCAGTGCGATCTTGCACTCAGGCTCTAAAGAGAGGAGAAGCCGCTCGATCCGACTTTTTTCAAGGAAACTTAGGTTTCCGAATTCGTGACTGAATTTTGTACCAAGACACTACCAAGAATACGAAGACTTGCATCCAGTCAACTTCCTTCATTCTAATTAAAGGGAACTATGCAGACGGTGGCAATGAAAAGCCTCTAATCAACAAGTTTGCCCCCTGGCACAGTCGAATGTTTACAACTGTCAAGTAGAACTGACTGCGTAGTGTCATAACATTTCTAATCCGTTGCTCTAAACTTGAATATGCTTGCAGTCACCTTTTGTCGTTTGTCACACAACTATTTAGGTAAGGAAAGCAATTCATCTTAGCCCATTTACTTCTTTTACTGTGAAAGCATAGTGATTCATATTGAAAGGAGCAACACAACTTGCAATTTTATCAAGTGAGCTTTCGCATGCCCCATACAGGTGGACAGACTGATGTCGTTCGCTCGCCCCAGATCGAATACTTTTTTCTCTAGCTGTCCATCCAGTAATTAACAGTACAAGGACTACTGAGACACCCTGGCGGTCGTTGATATATTGCATGTGTGAAGCATGAAAATGAAAATTTGGTCAATACACCCGCTACCTGATATCCACAGATATTCGGCTTTTTCAAAGTCGTCAGATGAATCCGATGATAATCGCAATCAAATATATCCCGCGAGTTTCCACGCGGATTATATGTAATCCCTACCTAAAAATTGAAACGATGAATGATTCGCTGCAGCACATGGGAGTTTGTTCCTCAGATCAATGTTCTTGCAACAGAACAGTACCCAATATCCTGTTGGCTTAGTTCCAGCTAGTATTAATCAAATCGTCTTCAATCTATTCAACCTCATCATTGTTTTCTAGAAAGTGCAACTGCTTTTTCACATGGAAATGGCATTTGAAGTATGACCTCACGCCAAATTCCCTCATTCACCGGATGATAGTGGACACTTGGAATCAGGTTCTGTTCAGTTCATCCCTCATTTCATTTCTGTACGTTGTACAAACTGTTAGACTTTTGTTTTTGACTGTTTTCGGACCGTGCAAAGTGACGCGTCCAGTCTCATCTTTGGAACGCATTGCGTCTTAAGCAAATTGCTCCGTGCCAACATACCTGAATAGGACTACTCGACTTGATCTAAGAGAGATAATTTTCTATGCACTATTCTCTCACATGAATGATGCATGTTCGTTTCCTGTTGGTCGTATACTGTTTCACAAAAGAATTGATCGATACGGAACTGATCATTTGAATAGTCAACAGATTCACTCGTGTTTGGTATGGCACATAAGTTGTTCGTTTTCACTGATCCTATTCTTTGGAATGGTTTATTACTGTTCACAACAAAGCACCCCAGGTGTGCTAGCTCAAACTTCCTTTTCAAAGCACGCGTGAAATCACGTTACCCGCACTGCTTGTTGTTTGCAAATTTTTCTTCCATATGAACACATTTTCATTATGGAACCCACTGGGAACTCTTTTTATGTTTGTCACCGTAAGCAGCAGAGCGACTTACACCTCCCGTCATCGTCTATAATGTTTGCTCGAAACAATGCAGCAAACAATCCAGTGGGGTTGATTGGCTTCTGTTAACCTATATGGATACTAACAGAACCACGTTATTGACAAACACCCAAATTGACGATCACGAATCACTTTAATCTCAATGCTTTTAACATGAAAATTCTCAACACAGGGAAACGTAGACTATTCGTGATGTTCAAACAATAGCTGTTAGCTCACGAAATGCATTGTTTCTCCTTGGTGCATGTTTCCACTCACGCTTGTGTGTGCATGCACTGTGATGTTCAGTTGAGTGATGTAGAGCCGTTGATAGACATAACGATGCAATCGTTTCCCGTTGAGTGCCATTTGAATTTCGGTTAAAACACTGTGATCAAACATACGTGCATCGTTAATTTCTCACCACTGTTTGGTTTATCCGGTCCGCCTCCGTTCCTTGTTCTAATTTTTTTTAATATTGTCTGTCTAAGCGGTTGGTTGTTCCGGTCGTTTGAAACTAAAATAATCTCTGTCGTCTGCGAGAAGATGTACATCTGGTATCCGATCTCGATACTTAAAATACCGATACCGGAAATTGTCAAGCTTTCAGGCTGGAAATACTTAAATTAAGACAATTCGCTCGTCGAACAGTTTTCTCCTCGAGCTAATTCAAGTGTGCGCTCCTGTGGTCTATTCTTTCTTTGTTTCTATGGGTCGCACAGCGTGGCGGGCTTTGACAACCACGTCCACCTAACCTAAATCAGAAGCGAGAGTCGATGCTAGTTGCAACTGTGCTCTTGAAGTTAGGATATCTGCTAGCTAACCCAAGGCCGGTGCACTTTGTTCAAGCTAACGTCAACTTCAGCTGATTGTTTACAATCCCTTGAGATCCGTAGCCTCCATCTTCACGTGTGTTACATGCAATCAGCCAAAAATAGTTTATACGCAATCAGTCCTGTAAAAACCTAATGCTCAGAAAGGAAAGGGGAATACACAATGCAGAGCAATAGGCGTTCTTGTTTATTTTCTTGGTAATGTGTTCTGGCTGCGCTTGTAATCCGTTGTGAATTTAAATTTGTAATTATGCCGTTGATACAAATAGGGCTTTATAAATCTCGGCATTGGCGTTGTTTGTCTCCCCAAAGCATAAATTTATGACAGAAGTACTCCTGATGCAATTATTTATTTCTGACTATCGTATCTGTAATACCCATCGGAATTAAGGGTAGAACATACCTCAACCTGAATAGAGGGTCCACTCATACTACTGCAATACTTGAAGTATTCATTCTGTTTTTCTACCCTCGCTCTGTTATCAGGTTTATTGTGACGGGATCATATAATCGCTCCATAAAAGTATTCGATCGCCAGGCCAAACAAGATCCCGAGTATAGTTTGATTATGCAAAATGAAGAAATCAATCCATTCATTGATCCATTCCGGGCTGCGGACGAGCCTTCCTCATTCGCTTCTGCACTGTCCGACACTGCAGAATTACCCTGGCCACGGCGAATCGCTGAGGCCCCGAAGAACGCTGACAATCCACTCGGATCAAACTTCTCCTCCGATTTCCGGTTCGGTATGGACATGGGCTGTCGATGGCTTCAGGTCAGCTGGAGACCGGGAGCCTACGTGGTCGCTGTTAGTCACAGCGACGGAATTCACTTACTGGAAGCCTTATGCTAGTATGTCTTTCTAATTGCAATGCTTAATATGTTCTCCGTCCGCGCCGCTATCCCTATACCATCCACGTCACCACCTACGCCTCAACTGGTGTGTTTAAATCGGATTGCGCACTCCAGCCAGATTTTCTCTGATCATTCCTACCCCCGTTGTTTGGTCAGCTGTCCCGGACGCATGACTTTGTCATGATACAGACCGCATACACGGAACCAGATACACACAGACAGACACGCGCCGCGGATATTCGTGCATAATCCTCGAGTGCAACCGGGTGGTCTGGTGGATGTGTATAATCTCATCAGTGTATGTGTGTTTGTGCACTCTCCAAATAACGACGTGCATTAAACAAATTAATCAAAAGCAGCGAGAGTTGTTTTTCTTTATTTTCCCTTGTTCTATTTCAATTGTACTTTTTGTGCTCTTGCCTGTCTATGATCCCTTATCTTTTTTTATCCCATACTTTTTCTCCTCCTCCTAGTCCGTGACTCGATCAGTTGTTCCATATCCTGCTATCGGCTTTTCACAATCCGATCCACCTGTTTCCCTGTTACGCTCATGCTCTATCCTCCACTTATTCTGTTCTCACTGGCCCGCTGGTGCCCATGCATGCGTTCACTCCCCCGTCCTGTCGCGCACACGTGCTCGCTCTTTCTGTGCCAAAATTTCATTTCTTCCGAAGTTCCGTGTTTTTTTCCCCACTATCTGCTAGATTTTTTGCAGTTGAATTTATCTGCCTTAGGTGATTCCATGATACTTTTGATGTTCTCTTCTCTTTGTTTGTTCCTTTAATTGCTTCATTTTTCACCACCATCATCATCGTTGTGGACACAATGCTGCCGACTGTTCAGCCTGGTGACTAACAACTAACTGCTGGCTGTTTGTCCCATTCACTGACTTAGCCACCGTTCCACGTACTTGGATACTCCCATACCTTCCTATCTTTAGT